GAGTATCTAATGGAATTGAAGAAAACGTTGTGTGCACTAAAATAAACGGGTGACATTTCTATTATTTAGGTAACTTTCCCAAGCTTATCTCTTATTTCTTCCCCCCAGTACCTTTGTCAAGTGCACACTTTGAGCATTCCAAGTGGAAAGGGATTGAGAAGTTTTCTTGCTGTTCAGTTTTAAAGTTTCTCCACCTTTTCTTTTCTCCCTGCCCTCTTCTATGCTTTACACTTATTTTCCTTGTCCATGTTATTTTTGGCACCAGGGATCTTGAATCCTGACTTCAAAAGAAATCTATAATGAAAACTGGCTGATGTTTAACAGACTCAACCACTGAAGGACCTAATCCTACCATTCCTTCAGCTCAACAGCCTCAATGTGTGCGTAAACACACCCCAGCTAACCCCTCCTTGCTATCCAAGTTTGTGAATTACCAGCTTCTTCATTTGTTCCCTTTCATTCCTTATACATCTTCTCTCCTGTTCCAAAATACGCTCTTTCTAGGCACAACTGTAGATGATACTCTGCCACACACCTGTTAGACATCTCTCAGTTCACCTTCTGAGGGCTTAACACCAGGTGCTAGTGTTCTACGTGTAATTGACCTCTGCTCCCAATAAGACTCAGAGAAGGTAGCAGGGATGAGAAATGGAGTCACCAACACACAGAGATGTTAGCTCACCCCAGACCTCAGAAACGGAATAGTATCCCCCTGTCTGCTTTATAGCATGGTCTGACACTGGCTGATTGACAACTTAAAAAACCATCTGTGCTCAGCCATTTGTTTTCACTTGGTAATTTTTTCCCCTCATCAACAATATTATGAAACCGGAGAGAGGTGGGAGGGGGTTGGGCAGGAAGAGTCCACTGTTCCAGATCTAGTTTACTCTTAGGAAAAGGAGAAAAGTGAAGGATGGAAAGTAGACGCAGCAGCAGAGTGGATATCTTTCAGATATAATTTTAGAGGAATAAAAGTAACAGAGTGAATAATCAAATGAAGCCGATGCCTGTAAAGGTCAAGGAAACTGCGTTCACCTTGAAGCAGAGCTTCTTTTGGCTTGGCTACCTAGAGCACACCATAAGAAATAGTTAAGGATATTTGTGATTTTTTTTGTGAAGTAGACACTCAACTTCCTTTCTTCAACTCTTCAACTCTGTTTCTTCAACTCTCTCTCCCTCTCCCTCTCCCCCTCAACTCTCTCTCCTTCTCCATCTCCCTCTTCCCCTCTCACCCTCCCTCCATCCCCCCTCTCTCTCAAGTAGAAAGAGACATCTGGCTTATGCAGCCCTCCAAATCCACAAGCCAAGTTCTTCTATCTTGGTAATTCTGTTCAATTGGCTATGTAACATATCTATAATTCATATCTCCTCTGACCAGTCCCAAGCCTGAAAAATACTCTCCCTTTGATAGACCCATCTGGGTTACAGATGTTTGTAAATACATTCCTTAGGCTCTCTCCTCTTCTCAGAACCTTTGGGAAAGAAAGTTCTTTGAGCTAGATTTCTGGTTCTTACAGGGTGTGGTAAGAAATGTTAAGTAGATCTGGGAAGAGAACTATCATCAATTACTAATCAGTTACTAATGCATGTTAGTTATCAATCTACCTCTAGGTTTTTTTCTTCTACTTTCCATTACCCGCCAGTAAACTTGAGCTTCTGAGTAGAACAACTATGTTCAGCACACTGTTTATTCAATAAATGTCTTGCAGAGTATTTGTTGACATTGGATCCCTTAAGAAAAACATTATGATGGGATTATGAATTTAAGGTCTATGACTTAATTGTAATGATAAAGATGCTATATATGGGTAATTTATTTCAGAAATGGTCACTAACTCCACCAAATCCAGGACCCCTTTAAGCCCCAGAGATCTATGTGTCTAAATACAATGTTTTCAAATAATTCAAACCAATAGTGCAGAATGGTCTACACCAAGTTCTCCTTTCTGTACCTCAGCTTAGATTTAAACCTAAAGAAGTTACATGAAATTTCGAAATTCCTCTGCTAAATAACATTTAGCTGATATATATAGATATAGACATAGATATAGATATAAATTAATCCTCTGTTCATCTAATTGTATCTGGCATATTGGCATATTGGAAGAACTTGGTAAGTAATACATTTTCAAAATACCTTTCCTGCCAATGAGAACTATAAAACACTCAATATTTTTAATAATAAAAATTTAGCACAGAGCATTTAAGGCAGAAGCAAAGTGACAAGACTCCATAATGAATTAAATATGAGGGACATAAAAAGAAAATCTTACACCTCCCCCATATTTTTGCCTTCAGATTTCTTCTTCCAAAAGGGGAGACTTACAGAAAATTATCCTTTTTCTAGCCAGCTATTAGACAGAATTCTTGTCATTGTGAATAAGCACTCAGCACTTGATAGACTAAACAATGATTATAAAGGATTTTGACGGGCACTGGTGGCTCACTCTGGTAATTCTAGCTACTCTGAAGGCTGAGACCTGAGGATCACAGTTTAAAGCCAGAGGCTTTAAAGATCTGAGGAACTCAGTTCAAAGCCAGCCTACACAGGAAAGTCTGTGAGACTCTTATCTCCAGTTAACCACCAAGAAAACAAAAGTGGAGCACTAGCTCTTAGGGAAAAAACTCAGGGACAGTGCCAAGCTCTCAGTTCAAGTTCCACAAATGACAAAATAGAGGTCTTAAAACATGTTTGTTAAGGTAAAAAAGTAATAGAATAATTGGAAAATTAAATTCAAAGAAATGCCCTAAAGTAGAACAAAATGACAAAAATTTGGAATATGTTAGAGAATACATTTGAGAGCTTTATTTCCAGCTATCTCAGGGAAAGAAGAAGTCAAAGTAATAATTTTAGAAATTTTTTCATAAATACGGAGTATGAGTGTCTAAATTGATAGGACCCACTATGTGTTTATAATGAAAGAATAATAGAAGGTTCTTATTAGTTCCTAAGTATAATTACCACAAATTCTTTCAAACAGCAGACAAGAGGCAACATTTTAAATAAACCCAAAAGAAACATATAAATAAATACATATATACACATAAGTATGTTTGTGTATCTTTATTATATACATATTATATATTATGTATTATATAATATGTAGAGAGTGAGAAAGAAAAAAAGGAAGAAGTTTTGGGGGGGAACTATCACAGACAGAAGTATCAGAACAGAATTAGAGGCAATTGATAAATTTCTTCAAAATTTCAGCAAAAATGTTTTCAAACTTAACATTTTACACAAAGAAAAGTTATCTGTTTTATGTAAAGGCCTAAAAACAATTCTGAGAAGTCATTTTCAGAAAAGTTACCTAGAACATCTTTTCCTAGAGAGTTATTTAAGGACATATTCTAGTAAAAAAAAAAGTAGTAAATTAAGAGATATTGATGTAATTCAGGATCCCGTGCCTCCAATCCAAAAAAAATGTAGTGAAGTTCCACAATGATAACTGAACTACATGCCTAAGAGAACTGGACAACATTAGAAGAATATAGAATGAACTAGAAGGGAGAGTGCCAGAAAAGGATGTTACAAAAAACAACTATTTAAAACACATATTTAATAAATAAGCATGTAGGAAAAAACAATTGGAAACATTTGTGGTTATTGAGAAGGAAGGAAGGGACTCTGGTGGTATAAGAAGAAGCTGATCAAGAAAGGAAATAATAGAATGATATTTTGTCCTGCAACAAATAAAATTTCATAGTCATAGTATTGTAAATAGAGACAAAGGGCCACTCTGGCTACATTTAAAGACTGCTGTTACAGTTTCAGCCTGATATGTCCTTCACAGATTCTTGTGCTGTGTTGCCACAGATGAGGTGTTTTAGAAATGATTAGCTCCTGAGTACTTGAATTTTATCACTAGAGCAATCCATCAATAATTTGATAGCATTATTGGAAGGAAGTAGAGACAGTGTGGCCTTATTGTGGCACTATGTCACTGTGCAGAAGTAACTGCACACACAAGGCCTTTGATCTCCTGGAGCTGATATTCCAAATGAGAGGAAGATAAGTACCTGGGTGCAAACAAAAAATGGTCAGAAGTATGTACTGTACAGGTGGTTAAGGTTAGTCGATGTTAACATGACTGAGTAACTGTTTTAGATTGGAAGATCAGGAAAGGCTTGGGAGTTGACCCTTAGGTAGATATTTGAATGAGGAGTCAGAGCCCACTGGAAGAATACCAAGAGAAAAAGAATTCCTTCCGGAAGATGGAGCCATCAATGCAAAATCCTAGTGGCAGAAACAGGCTTGACCTGTTCCACCGAACCAGCACAGTCAGCCACGCTGTGCTGTATGCACGGGGGCAGTGGTTGGATGTGAAGTTGAAGAGAAAGTGGGCAGGAGTTGATGGTAGTCCAGCTAGGGAGCTAGGTCAGAAGGTTAGCTCTTATTTCAAGTGCAGCATCAATGGGAATGACCAGATCTGAGTCCTTTTTCAAAAGATCTTTCCGGACGCTCTGTGAAGAATGGAGCCAATAGGGGAACCAGGAGAAATTTGCACAGAAAGATTTGTGGCATCCATGCCTCCAATGAAGTGCTCAATCTGTACCAAGGACAGAGACTGCGACTTCCCTTTGTATCCGCATTACTGTGCTGAACGCCTTTAGGAACAGGTAGAATGAACAGTCGTGCCCAAGTGCTGTTGACTGGATTCTATTACTCTTTAGAATGCTTGTCCTGGAAGATTCCTTGTCCCCACCCCACCCCACCCCCGCCCAACTGGTAAAGAAAATGGTTCAGCTTTCCTGCCCCCCCAGGTGCACACAGGTGGTCAGTGCATTGCACACTGGCGCGCACAATTGTCTGTGACCTCAGCCACGCGTCTGCTCCCACTTACCTGGCAAAGCCTGGCTTACTTCACGAAAGTTCCATAGAGTCTGATGGGGAAGGATGTCAAGAAGGCTGTCTTTGGGGACTAAGGCGCACCCCATTTTGCCTCTAGAAGTAGCAAGGACAGCCCCCCTCCACAGCAGACAGGTCCCCAGCTCCTTACCTCAGGGGTGAGTCCGGGTCAAAGCAAGTCTTGCGCACGTCCGTCACGCGGGGGTTACAGCAGTCCCCGCCGTCGAAGTCGTTCAGGATGTTGTTGCACTCGGGGTGACACACCGAGTCCCTTCGGTTCCAGGAATAGCAGCGGCCCTGCAGGCGGCAGTCCCCCCCGTCGTAGCCCGTGAGAGGGTGCTCACATTCGGGGTCGCAGTGGTCGTTGCCGATCTTGCTGGGCTCACAGTTCACCAGCACCACCCGGTGCCGCAGGGTGGAGTTGTGGACGCGGTGCACGCTCAGCTGCCAGCTGATGTTGTAGCGCGCGAAGGCGTGCGCCAGCGCCGCGTGCTGCCGGCTGATCTGCTCCTCGCTCACCGTGGGGCGCAGCCCCGCGTCGTCGCACACGTTCACCACCTGGTAGCGGATCACCTTCTCCCCGCGGAGGGGCCAGTGCTCGTTGTACTGGGAGATCAGCTCCACGTTGTCGCAGACGGTCTGCCCGCAGGGCGGGGGATGCAAGGGTGACAGAACCTCGGGCTGGGGCTCCTCCCAGGCCTTGAGCACCTCCAGCTGAGGGTATGTCTCGTCCTTGAAGGGGACCCATTGCTCCTTCAGGAGCTCGAACGTGGCGGTCAGCAGGAGGGCGCCCACGTCCCCCGCCTGGCTGGAAGATTGCAGTTGGCTCTGTGAGAGCGCGGTGGACCAAATGATCAGCGTGCCCAGATGACCACGGAAATAATGCCCGCTCTCCGAGGTGTCGCCACCCAGGAGCAAAGAGCGACAGGATGCCATGAAGGGGCTGTGCAGAGGACCAGACTGCCCCGTCCTGCTGGCCACCTGCGCGCCGTCCACGTACAGGACCATGCGCTGCCCGTCGTACGTGGCGGCCACGTGTGTCCACATGCCCGGCTGGTAGTGACTGTGGCCCGTCACAAGGGTCGCTTTCTTCACACGGTCGGTTCGGAGGGAGAAGAAGAAGCGAGGGTCTCTCCTTCCCCTCTCTTTGCCCGTGCGGATCCCCAGCGCCCAGCCCTTGTCAGTGATGGTGTGGGAGCAGTTATCAAACACACCTGGGAAAGAAGGAAGAATCCGGGGGAGAAACACCAAATACAAAGAGAATGGAGAAAGGAAGGGGGGAGGAGGGGAAAACCACATGTCAATAGCGAGAATGAAGGCTTTTGAATTGGAAGAATAATATATAAATGACACAGATTACCCGCCTGCGCTGCCCGGCCATACTCTCATATTGGACCATGTGGCAGCTCATTGGAGATTCCACCCAATTGCGTTTCTTTATATATTTAAAAATACCTAACGAAAACTGGGAAGTGGACAGCCAGTGCAAATGATGGCCATCTATTATCACTTCATCAAGAATATTCTTCCTGATCACTGACTTCCCCCCACCCCTACCCCGGACCCTTTATATTCTGGGGACCCAGGAGGGCAGCTCTAGTCATTTACAAAAGACAGCAAATTGCATGCCCCTTCAAAAAGTCATTTCCTCCATTGAACATGGAAATGATTCTCAGAGGGAAAATAAGGAGGTCTCTTGGAGAAGACTACCACTTCTAGACATTGTTCCTGGGGGTAAAGAAAGACCTGTCATCTGTAGAGTACAACTGTTTCCAAAGAAAGCAAAATGGAATAAGCCCCAGAGAGTCGATTACAAAGGTGGTTATTCTACATCCAGCGGTACCTACCACAGTACACAAGCAAAACTTTCCAGGTAAAAGAAGGTCCTTTCTACTCACTGCCCCATGTCCTTGCTCAGAAAAGCCACCGAAACAAGAAATCTACTTGATAAACAAAGACAGCACTTGTAGATAACAGGAAAAGGGAGTCATGTCAAATGTGGCAGAACTACAAAACTACAAATGGAAGAGAACCATGAGACAGAGTGGAGGCCCATGACATTCCCAGTATGCCATTGGTGGGTGATTTTTTCCTAACCTCCTGGGTACTTCTTTTAGGATATAGTGTCAGGATGAGCCTTTACTTGTAAACTACATGAAGGCATTCTTATAAATATGTACTTCTATCTACGCAGAAATGCTTAATAAATATGTCTTGAGCTGATGAATGAGTGATAATGATCTGATAGTTGCAGGACCAGGTGCTTGAGGTTCATATCAAAAATCATCTCCCCTAGACTATGAAACAAGAATTTTATGTATTCCTTGACCTTATAGAGTTCCCTCCAATAGCCCTTGTTGATGGGTGTTCTGGATTTCTAAATCATAAGCTTCTGCTTTTGATGACACCAAATGTTTAATAAGTAGCCACATTTTTATTAAAGTAATCTTTATAAATAGCTTCCTTTGTGTCTAACATAAGTAAAAACTTGCCCATAAGAGGATTTTTATTCTTTTGCTTTTCAGTTTGGTTTTGGTTTCTTTATTTTTGTTTGTTTCTCCTGGGTTGCTGTTTCTGATTTCTGTACCTTTTGTCTTGTATGTAAATTTATCTGATTTGGGGAGGTAATTGGAAGTACAGAAATGGTGGGACAAAGAGTTGAACAAATGCAGCAGTGACATTCACTAGACACTGTGTTGAAAATGAACTACAGTATACACCTTGTAGAGAGGGGGATTGGGAAGGGAAAAACTGGGAGAAAACAATGGGCAAGATGACACTGTTCAAAAAGAAACATACTTAGTGCCTGACTTATGTAACTGTAACCCCTCTGTACACCACCTTTACAATAAAATAAATAAATTTAAAATAAATTTTGAAAAGTCATTTTTAACCAAAACAGCCTCTACCTAGTAATTCTAACAATTCACCTTTAAAATACTGGTAATGACTAGCTATGATGCAATGGAAAGTGTCTAGTATTTTGTTTGTTTTCTTGGTTTTACACAAAGCTTGTCAAGAGAATTAAGAAATATTGCTTTGAAATCTCTTTCCATTGAAAATCCATTGGTGGATTTTCAAAAAAGAAAACAAAACTGCATGATCAATACTAAGTTTCTCTAACCCACATTTTCTTCTTGGTTCACATATTTTAATAAACATTATAGAGCCTTAATTATGTCTTCCTGTTGACTTATGAACAAGTGTGCTATAATATTTAATGAGTACCACAGAGTTACTTATCTGTCACTTCAATGTTGGCTTTTAAGAGAAAGTCTATATTTTGATGCACACATAGTATGTGATGGAATTGGAGTATAAATTACTAGACTTCCCATATAAATTACTAATTAACTTACATGAGGTATCTAGTTTTCAGTGGTGAACACTTTAACATCTTATCCTTAGATTTTTGATTGATAATCAATAAAATAATTATTTCTCCATACTTGTCTCAAAGGCAGCTTTGTCCTGAAGTGGAAAATCTGCAGTATTAGCCAATTGATGTGGTGCATATTACTCCCACAATGGCCAATTTCAAGTTACCACTATGATGTCAGTGTGCATGGAGTTGGGAAGAGAAATGTACAATTGGCTCTGGTGATCCAGCAGGAGCCAGTTCCAGCGCTTCTAGATTCACAAAAGAAAAGCAAATACAAGCTTCCAAGCGTCTCCACTTCCCTCTAACAAAAGCAGATAGCCTGCTTTGCTGAAGATGTGACCTTCTGCAATGAAAGGGGAGTAAATATTGCCTCCACTTTGGATTTTGAGCTTTACGCTGTTTACCAGAACGCTCTGTGACCAGCTGCACCTGCGAATAAATTCTGTCCAACCATTTATCAAGCAGCCAGCCCAGCTTCCCACATGCCCTCAGGAAGCTTTCCCTTTGTCCTGATCCCTTGATCTCATGACACAGAAACAAGATGAATTTTGTTTCAAAAGATTTTTACAGAACCTTAATATTCGGAAGACTTCCCTTTCTACTTAGTCTAGCACAGCAAAGGCTGACAAACCAACACAATCTAAGCCAATACAATATACGTGGTGAAACTCTGAGCTTGTGCAACATTGAGTTTTTATAACTTTGGATGTACATGTGATAGAAACAAACACATTACAACTGTTGTTTGTTCATCAAAGCCACATTCTTGGGAAGAACAGAGGGACCAGATCACTAATATGATTTATGAGATCACTCAACACCAAACTGAACTATGATAGCCCATGGTTAGAAACATCAGATCAAATGATGTAACACAAAAGATGGGGGTGAGCTTGAAGCCAAACATTTGGACCATATTGTCTTAAAACCTTATAAATAATTTTTTCAGCACTTTCATCCAAATGTCCTCTGGTATATATCAATGTTTACTAAATTTAAACTTGTTTGAACACCTTGCCATCTTTTAAAACTGAGTTTGGAAAGAAAATAAAGTAAATTAAAGGAGCATGTCTTGTTCATTTTATTCCTGCTCTCAACTCTAAAAATCATATTTAGAGACCATGAGTTTCTTAATAGAACAATAGATGCATGTGTCTGCAACAAAAATTATTTGCATCTATTGTTCTATTATCACAAATTATCAGGATTTGGAAGTAAAAGATCCAGTTACCAGGAGCAAGCCCTTCATACAAACAGAAATGTAATATTCCAGGCTATAAGGAAATAAATGTAAGAATGTGTGAGCCTCATGATTTAAGGGTCACAAATAACTGTTCAGTGGGAGGAATTCTAAATGTAGCCCTTTGTAGAGAAATAATTTTATTTACATTTCTTAAATTAGGTCTTTTCACTTGCTTATGACCAAGAAGGCATAAAGAGCCTTAAACCACCTTTTATTAAATGTCTACTACACTCCAACCATAGATCATTCAACAGTCCTAGTAAACCATACCACAAATGTATGACCTGAATTTTAGTATCTTCTCTTACAGGCCATAAACTAAGCATTAGGCTATTATACAAGCAATTAACAATCTCACATCTAGCTAGTGCAAGAGACAAGAATCCAAACCACGTGTATTTTGTACTACACAAACATTTCAGATACTTTCAAAAATTAAGAGTTGCTAGGAAGAAAGTTGTAAGCTGCCTGTGGTGTGGACTAGTAAAAATGGCAGGAATGAATTTGTAGACCCACTTTCTTTCTTTGGATCTTGAAGACAACTAGGATCTGGTTTCTCAAAAGTATCCACAACGGGGGGGGGGGGCTGGGAAGATGGCTCAGTGGTAGAGCGCTTGCCTTGCATGCCTGAGGCCCTGGGTTCGATTCCTCAGCACCACATAAGCAAAAAGAAAAAAGCTGGAAGTGGCGCTGTGGCTCAAGTGGCAGAGCGCTAGCCTTGGGCTTAAGAGCTGAGGGACAGCGCCCAGGCCCAGAGTTCAGGCCCCACAACTGGACCAAAACAAAAAAAAAAGTATTCACAACGGGAAACATGAAGAAGAAAAAAGTAAGTGACTGATTCAATCATTTATCTTTCACTATTGACCAAAGCCTAAATTGACAGGCTACCTTATTGAATATCTGTTCACATTTCTAGGTAGACCTCCCAAGTTCTTCAGTGACATATCATACTCAATAATCAGTTCTAACGGACCTAGGCAAAGGGGTTAGGAGCTTTTTGACCTGTGTCCAGGAGTATGATATTGGGGTAGGGGGAGAGGTGGAAGGAGGCTAATTTAAATATCACACATCCAGAAACTTGTTCCAAGCCAATGATTTTCACTGCTCTTTTTCTCGGACTCTCAATTAGGTTTGTAACTGCTAGCATAGGAAATTGTGCTTGTAGGGAATGTAATCAAAAGGGAATGTGACATGATCCTGCTAGGAGCCACTCACACCTTTTCCAGGGCTCCAGCAGGACTGCTTCTGGTGGCTTACTCCATTCTCTATTAGCAATCTCTCCTATCTCCTCATGGGAGGTTCTGTCAGTTGGTTTTATAGAATGGATTCCCTTAGCCACAGGACCAAATAGAGGGAGTGGTGCTTCCACAGTGCTCTTGGCACCACAATAAAGAGGAAAGGTATCATCTACCTCAGGAGTTATAAACATCAACCTAAAAATGAGGGAGAAAAATAGGGCCAGACCTGGTGACACACAACTCTAAGGTCAGCTGTTTGGGCAGTGGAAATCAGGACGTTTGTAGTTTGAAGCCAGCCTGAGCAGAAGCCAGCAAGAGTTCCATTTCAACAAATCAACCAGTCAGTGGTGT